CAACAATCTGGGAACAAGTTGGATTTTTTTAAATTATTCAAAGCTATGAACGTTTCATTATGATCTCAAACAGGACTTCTGATCCACTTTAGCAGCTTTCTGGTACTGAATTCAGCTTTGGATCAAAATGGAGTATCACCCAGATTGTGTGTTAGATACAACTTAGACCTACTCCCTCCAGAGACAGACAAAAGCACATCAGCCTTCCTCTGCTTAGATTAAAGGAGTTATTTTTGAGCATTGGAAAACCGGAACCTAACCAAAAAAGGTAAAAAGGGGGTCCAGCCCATAAGTTTCTCCAGAGTGAGAACAGAAGTTACTTCCCCTGTTTGCAAGCCTGCAGAACAGGGCAGGATGCAATTCCTCCAGCATCATTCCTTTGCCCTGTGGCTATTAATTCCTCCTGTACTGCATCTTGTGTGGGAGAGTCTTCTATTTCCATGAGATTGAACTATGCAGGAAAGTGAAAAATGGTTTGGAATTATTTAGTAAAAGGGAAAACTTTCCAGTACTAAGGCCAGCACTAAGTGATCAGTCTTTTTTAGTCTAAGCATAGTATCTATCAATCACTATAGCTTTATTTAAACATCTATTCTTAATCAATTATACCATCTTATGAGCACTGACTGTAGAACCTATAACAACACAGTGACTGCACTTCCTAAAAGAGCAAAAACCCTCATGAATTGTCATCTCAAAATCAATACCCAAAGAACAGGAGGGTGTTTCATGTCAGCAGATTACTGAACAATTCCAGTGATAAATAAATGACATGTCCCCAAAAGAGATAAGAAGGGCATAAAAGAACTTTCCCAGTATGTGAAGAAGCAGATAAAAAGTTACTTAAAGGCACAAAAATGTAATCAACTGCTAAGAAAGGAAGTCAACATGGTGCAAGAACAGGGGATAGAAAAACGGTGGTGCCTCTTTTGTCAGGATATCCAACAGGCACCACAAGACTGTATTGGTAAAGCCCTTGACAGTCTTGAATATAGTCATGCAGGACGAAATCGAACTATAAAGGACGGAAAAGTGCTTAAAAGAAAGAAAATATAAGGCAAATTAGGTGGTGTCTTTCTGAATCATCTGTGTTTTGCCAATCTAACAGCAAGCTGTCAGATGATCAAGCTATTGAAACGATCCAGTTCTGCCATGTAAACTGCAGTCCATGTAGGACAGAATGGCAGCATTATCTTACCGTTTTGTTTCTTTTCCCTCTAGTGATCTTACTGTTCCAGCAGTCCGCTTGTGTGCTAAAAAGCCAAAGAGAGCTCATTGCTTGCTGTAAGGGAGCGAGAGGACTGCCCCCCAGTGCTGCGGCAGTCAGTTTCTAGCTTCTCGGGCAGTGGAACAGTTTGCACATTTTTGCTGAATCCAAGGAAGAATAAAAAGGCAAATACAGCAGTAAGTTTACTGAAATCAGCAAATTTTGCACCTTCCTAGGAAAAAGGAATTCTTTTGAGAAAGTTGGCAGTGACTTGAAGAAGTGGATCATGTCAGGGACCACAGACTCCAACTTCATTGGAAAAAATATCTAAATGTTTCAAAATTGCATTGCTATTTAATCAAAAATAGAGCTAGATGTGAGTGATCAGAGCTCCTCGTTCTGTTGTAGGCAAAAGTAGGACCAAGTCACCTACAATACGCTTCTAGTCCAGCAGAGATCATGTTGTGAGATACTAGAGTCGACTTACCTGCCAAGATTTGGATGAAAGTACTCAGTTTAACACAAAATCTGGTTTTGACCAGAAGGCTTTAAAAAATCACTCAGCTTCGTAGCTAATCTGGGCTCCCATCAGCCAAATTCACTTCTGCTTGTACAGCCTTTATCTTCTGTGGAAGTGCACCAGCATGAACACTTCTGCTGATGAAACACCAGTCTGCTCTCTGCTGCATCCCTCCCTCAGAAGGGAATGCACAGTAAAAATATTGGCCATTACTTCTTCTAAATAACTGGCTGCGGGATAGGCTGCATACCACTCCAACGAGGGCACAGAAATATTGTCATCCTGGTTCAGCAACACTTTACAGTAACATCAATAATCTTGCAAGGGCAGCAGCTACCCAAGCCAGCTGAAGATCCTCCTAAAGTGACGCTAGTTTTATATTAATTTTTTCTGCAAACAAACACACTTTGACCCCTTCCTCCATGATTACTGCCATTTAATTGTAGCTTGAAGCTACGCCACCTGTAGCTCTACCATCGCTGCTATCACGTTTTGTTTGAAGAAATCCAGCAAGGTGCTTTCCTGTGACAAACCAGCTTAACACAAAATCATCTTTAATTAGAATTCATGGTTAGGCTACTGATTAGTTTTTGCAGGACAGAACATTCAGACACTTTCACCAAATTTCTATCAGGTTTTTAACACACAAACTTACTCAAGCAACTATCAGTTAAAAAAAACCAACCAAACACCCCAAAGCATTGCGTAAGATCCTCGTCATGTTCCCTGCAGGTGTGCAAGTGACAGAAGGTGACACTTCTCGGTTCAGTGCTAAGACTTAAGGCTTGAAGAACTTGGGGATTCTCGCAGTACGCTGTCACCCAAGGTCAAGGTAAAGCACCTATGGGTCTTTACAGGACAGGAACTTGCACTGTTTTATTTTTCCAGAGCCAAAATATTAAGTTCATAGAACGATGTTTGTGCTAAATAAAAACTAGCCCCTGAGGGGAACCAGAAAGTATTCAGCGCTGGCCCATCGTAAGTTGTTACTGAAAGGGTTGTACCAAATCTTCATTTGCCAAAGCCACAGAGCATGAGTGATGATACAGGTTAAAACTCCAGGGTTTTTAAAAAAATATAAATGTTTGATCTTTTCTTTCACTTTATTTAAAAAAAAAAAATCCAAACTTCAATTTTCAAAGTGGCTGCTTCAGCAATGAAAATAAACTCATTTCTGCGGTAGGTGAAGTAACCTAATTTTGTTGCTACAAGAGATTTTAAAACTGGCCTCACTTAGTTGCCACTGGTGTTATCAGCAATCATTTAAGGCATGATGTTTCAATACCACCTTTTTTTTCCTTTCCCTGTAAAAAATTGTCACTTCTTTCATGTGTTTCTTGCCGTTATTGGTAAGTCTCTTCACTAACAATATCCACTGCCACTGACTCACTCAATACTCCTCTTTACTGGTTTCAGTTTTAGCCCAGTTTGAGGAATGGGAACTTTTCTGGAACGTCAGTACATGGACCTCAAAATGAACTCAAAACAAGTAGCGTTGTCTTTGCAGTACAGGAGCCTGTTGGGACAGCTGCCACACACAACTTGTCTGCTGTCACCTAAACGCTGCCATCAGCAGTCTGTCCTCAAGGTCCACCATTAAGTGCCTTCTGACACAGACCCTCACAGTAAGCCTTCACAGAGGCACAGAACGGCCCAGACTGGAAGGAACCTGGGAGACCACCTGGTCCAGCCTTCCACGGGAAAGGGAGCCTAGATGAGACCATCTGAAACCCTGGGATCTTGAAAACCTCCAGCAATGGAGACTCCACCCCATCCCTGGGGAGGTTGTTCCAATGACTGACGGTTCCCACTGTAAAAAATGTCTTATGTCAAGATGATTATGAACATATTAACACTCCTGACCAAAAAATCCTACTTGAACTGAGAGCATCCAGGCTTACGTTCCTCAGTGTTTACCGTATTGTATAACCTGTAAGCAGCTTAGGAGATGCAGTCCCATAATCATGTTCTTCTCCACCCAGAAAGCTCTACAAGAAGCAAAGAAGACCTCATTGTTGCCTCTGAACTTGTGTCAAGCTAAAATGCACTACAGTGACAGCAAAAGAAAAGAGATGTCTGAAAGTGGCACCACCAGTCTGGGAAGGTCCACTTCACTGCAACTCCTAGGGGCAAGAAACAGAAGGGTGATTCCCATCCCCATTTTTAAGTGCTGCAAGTAATAAATTCCCATTTTAAAGCTAACTAAAAGCCAGATCTAATTAGTCAGCCAAGAAAGCTCAAACAAGCTGTACTTAGCTGTTTGTAACTTTGGAAAGATGGTGTTTTATCAGCAACTAAAGTCAGATTCAAATAATGAACCCTTGACCTTACTGCTGTCTTCTTTCCTTGCCTTGAAGGGAGGATGAGAGATTCTTAATTTATGAGGCCCCAATAACTTTCCTCTCCTGGTACCTGAGCTAATTTTGCCAGCTTTACAAAGCATTGCATAGGGTTAACATTCTCAAGGCTTTTAAAACCACTTTTACCAAGCCTTCCTCCTAAATTTTTTTTGAGCTTAACAAGCATTAAGAAATTCTTTGTACTATTTGGTTTAGAATGGTACTGACTCTTCCATCTGAAGCACTGCTTATTACATTTTCATTCTTTTTATAGTTAAAGCTCTAAAAATTAACTGACCATTTGTTCACAAAGACCTTTGTGATTTAATTCTCAGCACTGAAGAGCAGTTTAATGCCTTTAGAGTGGGAGGAGAGGACAGAACACATTATGCCATGGTAGTGGCTTCACAAAGCTACATCCTCACGTCTGGAACCCCACAGTAACACAGCTTGGGATGTTCCCGTTACGCTGCTTTCAACTCAGAGCAAGAGAATTGGTACATGTGTATCTTCTGAGAGCAGAGGCAATATCCAGTCATTGAGGTCTGCATTCCTCCCCCAGCCACTTTCCAAACTGTTGGGATGACAGTTGTATCAAGCTGTTATTTCATCATGTAGTATCTTGTGTTTAAAACCTACTTATAGATTAGCATAGAACATAAAAACTACTTTCCAGAAGGAATGGCTGATTTTTTGCAAGTCCTAGTATAAATTTTAGTCACAAAACCAGTACTGAATCTGTGGCTCCTTTATTTAGTGTTGAGGGTGGAGCAGTAAAAGGCAGGAAAGCTTTTTTTTTTTTTACCCCAACTTCTTGAAAAAAAAAATTGTTTGTTTGTTACTTCCCTCAATAGTTGCAGTTTCAAACCCAACAAAAGGCCACTGGTGCTGACACACCCCTTCTTCCACCTTCAAAAGACGAAAGGAAAAGGCTTTATTTCCCTTTCTGCACTTGGCTTCTCCCAGCCCGTGCTACCCTGGAGCTCCCTGAGGTCTGGTTCACTGCAATGGTGAGGCCTCCTGGCCTCTTCAGCCTTTCAAAACTGTAGCATTCGACTTTTTCTTCACTGGAGACCGTCCTGGTGCTTATGAGGCGAAATCCATCTCTGAGTAAAATGTCAAGCAGCAGGCCTAGCACGTTAGCACCGTTAAACAGCTTTCTATTATCAGGCTTTATGGAAACATACCTAAAATAAGAAAAAAGCAGACACAACACACTTTAATTTCACCACCACACCACAGCTTACTTTCTTAAGAAAGAAACAGCTGTGATAACCTCCATCTCATTTCATTTCATTTCATGGAGGAGAGGCGAGGCGAATGGCATGCTCGATACAGTGCTGCAACAGTTTTTCAGGTAAGTGTAAATGACGGGATTTCACCCCAGCAGCACCACTTTTCATTACACGAGATCTCTCTACAAACAGTGACATTTATTGCAAAGTTACCTTGTACATCAGGTCTGTGGTAACAAGTATGAAAATCATTTTCACATTGCCTCAAATGATTTTACATGATATATAAAGTACAATTTAAGAATCTATCCAGACATTTTGCAGACCAGAAGTCAGGTAAAAATATTATTACAAAATACATAAGCTGACAGAGGTGAAACTGTTCCACAGTTCACAGAAAGTACAGCAAACATTCATGGAAAGCACAAAAAAGGCAAAAGATTCCATGTCACCACCAAGACTAAGTCAACAGAAATTCAGCAGGCAACATAATCAAACTTCACTTGTTTCATTAATCAAGGTAAGCTTTGCTGTTGATCTGCAAAGGAAAATTTCTACCAAGTCTGAAGAAATAAAGGAAAGAATCAGGAATACTTTTCCATACTATTTAAGTTGCCATAACCTACTCAACCAAATGTTAGTCCATTAAAATTAGTAATACATTATAAAATTAAGGTTTGGCACATAAATATATGTCGTTCTGCAAATGCAAAGTAGTTTTTCTTCTACTTGCTTAGCTAAAGAAAGCGAGAAGATACACTTTTTTAATAATCAAAGAACTGCTGTGTTGATTCCTATATTCATACAAAATAACCCGCTTGGAAATATTTCAATGAAATTTCCATAAAATTCCCAATGTTCTAACAGCCACAGAGGACAAATTAGGTTACATTTTCTTATACAGTAAGAATGTGTCTCCATACAATAGAGACATCCAGCAAGAGCTTGTTTAAAAAACTAAGCTGTCATTAGAATACGATACTGCTGTCACAAAAATCACTGATATTCAATAATCTTAATAAAAAACAGATCCTGGCTCTGAATTCAAAGAAAACCCACTGTGTAGCATATACTTAATATCTACCCCTTCTCGCTCCCCCCAGTAAAAGGCTCTACAAAAGCTTTCTGGTCCCTGAATTACAATCTTAGCTCCACTGGTGTTTTCAACTCTGTTAAGCCATTCTTTTTTCCCTCTTCAACATGAAAGTCTTTTGGATCATGAGCCAGTGGACATTTTAGATTTCTCCAGGACCTGACTCCTTATTTATTTTGTTTCCTTTGCTTCATTTTACTTGGTTGTTTTCAAGCTTTCTAGGTCATTGATGCCAGGAAATTGTACAGCCTAGCACAGCAAGCAAGGAGGAAAGAGCAGAGAAAGAAGAACCCAAGAGAAACAAAATCATCGAGAACAGTGTTTTAGAAAATTGAGGAACAGGCACATCAGTGTAACAGAAATTAAGCTGGGTATTTTAGAAGAAGGTCACATTAAACTAGCAGAAAGAAGGAAACATCTCTTTTCTCTCAGACAGTTTCTTTAAAATGACCTTCGCTAGGACATCGTGTGTACATCACGAACTAGAAGTCACGCTAAGGAGAGTACCTGGCCACAAACTGGTCAACAGCAGAGTAGTCAGTACCACACTGAAAAACCACGTCGTGATGAGAAGGTCTTTCCAAAGGCAGTGGAACGAATGGTTTCTGAGAAGGAAAGGGGCTGTTCCAGCTCTGTCCTGACTGCTGCCCTGTAAACACAGTGATCTGCTCAGCTAGCGTCTCCACAGTGGTACTACAGGAACCAAAGATGCGGAAAAAGGCCTGCATCTCTTGAAGAGAAAAGCGCACTTCCAAGATCTCCATCCTGGGCTTCAGCAAGTGCTCCTGGCTCAGGAGGTCGGCCATAGAGTAGAGCCCATAGAATTCTGCTTCTCTCTGCAGCCTCTGATAGTCTGAGAAATTGGTAGGTAAGGAGACCTGGAGAGTCCTCAAGAAGTCCAAGATGTAACTAAACAAAGTTCCATCTCTGTCCACAAAAAACTCTCCATTCACCAGTTTAAATTCCCGGTCATCATCGTTCAACATCCGTGCTAACCTGGACTCGGGGAACTGCTGCAAGGTAGAAGCCCGGGTTACAAATCGCACACCTCCCACACTCAGAACGACCACTTCTCGGTTACTCATCGCTATCTCAGGCATTCAAGAACTGTAACTCTCTGATCTACGTCTTTGTGACTTGATCCTTCCTAACCTGCAAGCCATCTGCAGCTGCACGAACCACTCAGTGCTTTTAGCAAGTGTTTGGAGTGAGGTGTGGAGCAGCAATAGGATTCCCAGGCAACAAAGATGTAAATATCATGTACAATAGTTTTGTTTGCGGGGTTTGGTTGCTTAGAAACTTTGATTCTTGGAATTAAATGTTTTCTTTTTGAAATGAACAGCTTGCAAGGACTACTGGAAGACAGTGAATTGACTGTCACAACTTATTAAAATTTGAGAGACGCCAATAAATATCCCTGAAGTATGGCACACGCTATGTTTGTTTAGTGGAAAGGTCAACTAAATGTTTGCATTCCATATACTGCTGTTCACAGGACCACTGCAAAAAGAAGTTAGATGCGCTTCAAGCAATGTGTTTCAGTATCGTATGCTCTTAAAGAAGGGCACTTCAGAGAACTCAAGATTACAGTTCACTTTAAATCACTGTTATCCTACAGCCAGGTCAATACACTCAGAAAATTCAATTCACTCCTGAAACAAGGTACACAGAAATACAGTAACAGTAGAAAAGCCTACAGATTATGTTCCAGTGCTAAAGCACTTCCAAACACCACCAACAGCCATTGCACATTATGCACTCCTGGCACATTATGCACTTTGTTCCAAGGAATCGTCCCATCATTTTTTCCTGGCTTTTGGAATTATGATCTGGAGAGCCAGAAAGGCAGCAGAGAGAAACTGCTCTACCTGCAGCTGACCCGTGCGTGCCTGTCACCACACCGAACTGTTTACATTAAGGCCATTTTTTAAGAAAGCGTGGCTTCAGAGAAACATGGATCTAACAAGACTGCTCAGAAACCCCAACAGTTTCATGCTGGAAAGTGAGCTGCAAAGTATGTACTATCTTGCAGCATGTTCTTATCAACTTCAACTGATTTCTCTTTACCCCTAGAGTTTATGCTTGCCCTGAAGACCTATTTTTGTATAGAACATGTAAACAATAACCAGTATCTAGAGGAATCTGAGCGCACAGGGTAATTACAACATTTGCTTATACAAAAAAAAAAAAAACAACACACGTAGCTATTTCAGTGAGAAGTACCATCCTCAGTGAGAAAGTGGTTCCAGCACAGGACTGATGCACTCTGTATTTTGCAGTGGAAGGGCAGTCCTCAACAATCCTCTCACATGTCCCCAGTCACAACTCCTCTTCCTCTTCCCAAATCACCTCCCAGTTAGAAATAAAAAATACGAAAATTAACTATGACCTTTTAGGAAGTGACATTTTTTCTCTCACTCTACAACTACATTAACATTAAACTAAATACACAGTTTGGCCCTATATGTTGGTAAGAAAAATGATTTACAGTGAATAATATTCCCACAATGACCACTAAAAGAAGAACCCAGAAACAATGTGTTTTTTCAAAGCTCTGTTTCATCTTCCAGTTTATCAGGACTCAAACTAGGTGAGCAGTACGAATATTGTGGAAACATTTTGAATCTCTGAATGTTTTCACTGGAAGTCTTAAAAATAAACAATTAATTTTAAGAAGTTCTGTGTTTTCTTTACCAAATCTCTCTTAGTTCTTACATTTCAGTAGGGGCTTCACAGCAGTTTATATTTGCACACAAACTGTGCAACATTATCCAGTACAACCATTGTATAGTTCTTACACTTTTCTCTTAGAAGTGAGGCTCCATCTGTCATCTGTTCCCAGTAGAAGACCGCATGATCTGCTATCTCCACTGTATCTGCCAAATAGGACAGGCCAATTGTAAAGAACCGAGATTTCCAGCACTGGAGATTGTCAACAACCGACTCCACTGAGGACATTCTGGTGACAGCAAGAATAAGCAAGCAAACAAGAGAGGTCACTATAAATCTGCGCGAGAAGACTGAGGGAATCTTGAATTTAAGAGTGTTGTTTTCCTGAGGCAAGGCAAGTTTGTCCACATCAACCAGCTTTATTCCATTCCACTGGCTGGTATCAAAGCTCTTCATTGTAGGGCTGATGTCCACACTGGAACAAGGCAAAGGGGTTTCTTTGAGCACCTTGATTTTTTCCCTGAACTCCTGCATTTGTTGCAGAAATATAATGGGTTCAGACACATCTTTGAAGGCCTCTGCAATGTTAAAAGCCATCCGTTGCTCCTGCAGAATTGTGTTCAGTTTATTGATTTCCGGATCGTAGGCCTGCATCACTGCAAGCTTCATGGTCTCAAAGTCAGAGAGAATCTCATTTTGCTTCTGCTCCAGCGTGTGCTGCAGCTTCTCAAAGAACTCCTTCACTTTGTCAGAATCTTTGGTCAGCATCTGCAGGGCTTTCCTCTTGCTGGTTTCCAAGGTATCCAGCCGCGAGAGGGCATCTCCACAGCGCCAAGTTTCAAAGCCCTGAAACAGGGTTTCGAAAGCCCGCTTCTCCTGGGAATAGGCTTCTTCAATAGAACAGAAGACGTGCTTTGTGTGGTCCCCGCGGGTGGCACACACCCCACAGATCAGCTGCATGTCTGTCCGGCAAAAAATGTTGAGGGGCTGCCCGCTGTGCACTTTGCACACAGGCATTTTCGGAGTTACTTTGATTTTGTTATACTTTTCCACGATACCTTTCAGGGAGTAGTTGACCTGCAAGCTGTTGACTCCAGTAACGGGAGTTTCCTTCCTGCACGTGGGGCACTTGAAAGGGGACGGTCTCCAAAGCACGTTGCGCACATTTCCCTCAAGAATTCCCTCCAGACACTTCCTGCAGAAATTGTGTGAACAGGGCAGGACTCGAGGATCATCAAAGAGGCTACAGCAAATGGGACAGGTGAGATCTTCCTCTAGGAGCTCCATCATGTCCTAGGAAAGAGAAGAAAGATGGTAAGAGAACTTACAAAATTTATTTCTCCTCCAGGGAAACCACTCAAAACCCGATCTCCATCCAAGATGCAGTTCAGTGAGAAAAAGATCCACTTTTTTCTCGAGTATCCTTAAGACAGAGCCTCTGCTGGGTTCCCGCAGGCAACCCAGTTCGCTGTGGTATCTGTCCAGCAGATGGCAGGCACAGGATCGGCTCAGTGTCCAGGCAGAACCATTTTTGGATTCTCAGCTAGAAATGCAGGAAGAGAAGGCTTGCCAAACCCAGAGAGGACTTTGAATGAAAATAACTCATGTGCTTACAATAACAGTTCAGGACTTACATCTTCCCTTACCGATGCAACACCAAAAAACTGGATTTTCACAAAAGATACCCAGCTGATATGCCCTGCTAGGATTTGATTATCCTCTGCTTGCTCAACTCATCCAAAGCTTACAGTTTCAAATCTCATGCACCACTACTGTAAGAAGGCAATGTGAAATGTCACTGAAAAAGCCCAGCTTCAGAATTTCTTCAGCTACAGAGTATGTGATGTAGCTCTTTGCTCTACCTGCAAGAACAAAGGGAGGCACGACTCACTTAAAAAGTCAGCTTTTCTCTTGCTCCTGCAATATTTGTAAGTAACCAAGTGAATGTGTTATTGTTGAGCTACTCAGCACAAAGTTAAAACACTTCAAAGAACAGCAGCTCATAATCCTTGATAATTAATCATTTAAAAAATCCTGTTAACTCTTTTTTCCCATCTGCAATCTCTATTTCCTATTCCATTTTCACTGCGGTCATGCCTCAGCAATTTCTCTTTGTGGACAGGATGTACAGGAACAGGATTTATAGTGTACTCCTTTGTACTGGAAAGTCCCTGTGAAGGGACCCAGCGCATTACTGTCCCAGTGCCTCTAACCAAAGCCAACTTCTCAGATGCAGACACCTTAAAATTTACAGCTCTAAGAAAACAAACAGCTAATAAAGACCAAAATAGGTGATGACTTGTATTAGCCAAACTCTCAAACACTTACTTTTGAGCTATAATTAGAAAGACGCTTCCCTTGTATAAATTTCTTCCATATCACACAACGTGTATTAATACATGTATGTAGTAAAATCACTTTTATAAATTAAAAGATGTATTACAAAACAAGTGCATCAAAGTAGTCCTGTGACAGTAAGGCATATGAATGAGCTCTTTTAATTAGTCTCAAAGTCATTACTAAGGTTCCTGTCCCCTCAAAGAGATATAAAGTGGCAAACATGGGATCCAAGAAGAGAGCTGCAAGGGAAGATCCATGCTGCACAGGATGAGAAGAGCAATGAAATCAACACCAAAGCAGCGATAACTACAGGGAAGAAAGGCAAGGTCAGTTCTGAGGTTTTTTTCACAGGAGGACAGATACAGTCCCAGCGACACTTCACAGCAAAAGAGCCATTCTTGAGAGATGTCAGCAAACCTCCCATACTTCTCTGGTGACAAGGAGGAGAGGTATTCCCCGTGCTTTTTTGGATAAGGAGAGTCTGAAAAAGTTGCCAGCTTTTCTACTCCGCCTCAGGATCAGGCAGAAGGCGGCCACCATTACAGCTCAGGACAAAGCCCTTGAGAAAACATTTAATGACTCCATTTACTACCTAAGGCTTCCTATAAGACCGCAGATCCCATTCAGAAACTTCATTTTCTGTGAAAATAAAGTAATTTTGAAGCGCCTCTCGATGCTGGAACAATCAAGGTTTCTCTTCTCTCTACTGCTAAAAATAATGGGACAACAGGAAGAGGATGATTTTGCCCCTGTACTCTTGAGTCTTCTTCCCCTTCATGAACCACTCTCTCTTTCCAACTTGTGCTCACTGCTTTTAGCTACGGTAGCAGCACAGAGATCAGTTTTGCTCATGTGCTAAGGTGATAATAACTACAAAACTAAAATGACAGATCTCCATCTTCTAGTAAATGGAAATTCACAGCGCAGAAAATATTTGCTCCGGTCAGTCCCCTTTACCAGGGAGGATTTTACTTCTTAGTTACGGAGCTGGAAAAGCAGCTTTGCATGCCTGACAGTGAGGACTGCAAACCGCTGCAGAAAACGCTTACTACAACACGTTCCATCAAAATTGCAGGACAAACACTGAAGACTTTCGTGCTCCTAAAAATACAAAAAACATATACAAAAAGGTTTCACGATCCAAATAAAACTGCCCTGGTGCATTCCAACCCCACTTATCCAATTAAATAATTATGCTTTATAAATATAATTGAATTTCAAAACCATTGTATGACATCACTAAAACTCAGGATTTTAAAAGAACAGAAACGGGCAAGTCTACGAGCTTTTTTCTTACACCACCATCAGTAACACCAACCGAAAAGACTGAAAACTTGCATGACTGGTTGGGACACCTGAATTTCTGCCTTCTTTAGGACAATAATTTCAGAGAATAAGTTGCCTGTGGATTGAAACATCCCTTTGTATCGCCAAATTGGTATTTCTCTGAGTAACTACAGCAACGTTTCAACTTCTCCATTGGGGATTTCTCTGTGTAACTTCTGATCCAGGTCTGGATGGCCCTGGAACTCCCCACTCACAGCACACAGCAGACTAAAAGGCACAGCAGTTTCTTCCTTCACTGGAGCTACGTAAACTCTGCGGTTACAAACCCAGCAGGTTTCACCCATCAGAAAGGGCAACGTGCAGAGTTTTAGCATTAGGAAGAAGAATGGCAAAACAAATCCAACCATAAAAACAAAACCAACCATAGTAGCCTTTTCCCATGCTCCAGAGAGAAATTCATCTAGCATGCTTCTCAGCAGCCAGCAGCAGGCTGAAAGCAAACCCAAAATCTCACCAAGCTTCAAACAAAATGACATAATAGCTGCAATGGCGTATAAGTATTCTAAATAAAACTTGACTGAGTCAGGAGAGGTCTTGTCTCCACTCCTTAACAAGGGCCCTGGACCTCGTCAGGACCTTCTATGAGCAGTTTCACCAGCCATCTGTTAGACCAGCATGTGAATCAGCCCAAAAAAGGGTCCTGTGCAGATAAGGCAGGAGGAAGCGACATGGGAGCTCCTCCTTCCACCACCACCAATCTTCACTCTGCTCACCCCATCGAGAGGAACAGCAGCCTAATGGAGGGTTAGTGTAGACATCCTCACATGCAATGATTGACCTCCAGGTGCAGTAGGCACCCAGGCGGCCAAAAAGAGCTGAGGAAAGCGGCTATGCATTATATTATATTATATTATAT